GATCGGGGGGACGGAGTGATTCTCAAGAGCGAGAGGCTTAGGCTCCGTTTTGGTTAATGTTGGTTCGACATACCCGAAGCACCAGACATTAAGTAGAGCTGAGAGTTATTCAAAAATGGAACCATGTTTGAAAGAACGGGGAATGAGTTGTCTGGGCAAAGGATCCTTAGGAAATATAACAGTCAGTGTAGACGGACATGGAGAAAGTCATGACGTCAGGCTTTAGACACCAGACAATGGGTTTCCACTTCAAAGGGCAGTTTTAGATGCAGTCCCAGGAGGCGAAATTCTGCATATGAGATAAGTAAGCTGGAGAATAATGACAAAGAGCACCCAGGAGAAAGCTGACCAATATGTGGACTGAAGCTTGAGGTTTAAATCTGGCATATGTACATAGTAGGACAAAGCACCAAGGTAGTTGAGGTGGCAGCGCAAATACGAAGGGCTCAGGGTCTCCTTCAAAGAAAGTTTCTGGTGTAAGCTATGGTGCAAAAAAGACCCGGTTCCCTCAGAAAAGATAAGAACTAAGGGTGTTGTGAAAGCTTACCTGAGGAGATATAGTACGGATACAGGAGGGGAGCTTGTTATTTGCTTGGAATATAGGCAACAGAAAGGGCTCTATCCTAAGACGGTTTTCTACGTCGACGATAAGAGCAAAGGCCCAGATTTGTGGACACCATAGGGAGGGCAGAAGGAAAACTCCCCGGCTGCAGTCGGCTGTGGAAACCCGCCTGTAGATTAGGCAGTGAAGAAGACCAAGGTTTAACCCAACGCACCTCAGCCAGACAGCAATGACGTTATGGTAGTGCAGATGACACCATAAACAGAAAAAGTAGTAAACTAGCGCTACAGATTCGCCACAGTAGTCCGGCATGACTGTCAATATCGCAAAACGCTATAGCTAGATTCTATAATTGGTCTTTTGAAATGGCGTTTAACATGGTTTACTGCGGAAAAGTCAGTGGATAAAGGCACAGAGCTTGCGGGCTTTGTTCGTCTTCTACAATGCATGTTGGGAAAAACTGAACGCACAGGAATACCCAGAGACCCGGTCCCTTATTTGTGGAAGAGTAGGAACTGGAAGTCCGTTAGGAATAAGCATCCCAGAAGGAAGTTGGAATCGATGTGAAAGACCTTGGCATTTTGAAATGGCGAAAGAAGAGCAAACTTCTATAACGGTAAGACGCCGAAACAGGTTTAACAAAGTTACAGATGAAGTTAAGCAGAATATACGCTTTTCATTTCAGATCCACCATTGAATGAAACTGGTTTGCGTAAAACGAACCGCAGTTGTACCAGTACGCTCAATAAATAAAACCACTTCGCCAATAATGGTTTCATAATTTCCAGGCGCCGGCATCGTGGAGTGAAAACGCTCTCGGTTATGATCGTGAATGAATATTTGTGGTCGTTGGATTAGGTCATATTGGATAGTCGAGGCCCCATAACCAGTGGCGCGCTTAGGTACTAGCTTTAAATTCACGAGGGGTACCCACGGTAGGTAACAACGCGTGCAGTTATCGTGATGGAAGGTAGTGGTTGGGCTCATTTTCGACAGTAGTTAGGCTTTATGACGCAGCCCAACAAAGTGACGTCAGGCTTCGAAACGGTAAAGAAATCCTATGTTGGTAATTCACATGAGATATGCAAAACGCTGCATTATACCGTGGATAGCTGTGAATAACTAACTACGTGAGTTATCCACAGATGCATACTCCCCAAACGATTGATCCCAATAGACTCAGTCGCACAATGACGGTTTGCGCCAACGGTATTCCGTGGCTAGATAGTGTAGTGCGGTAAACTTGCGCCTTGCGATCGACGAGGTCGCGGTTCGCCAACCTATCTATTATTTATTTTTTCTGATAGCACGTCTCCTCAAACAGAACGGTTTTGATGACGTTTATTCACCGCGCAAAATATTATGCACAAAGATGAAAGCGACTGAAATTTCGGAGTTCTGGCAGTCTTATTTAGACATGCGACTGAGCTTATTCCGATTTCCTGCTCCACTTCTATTTAAGAAAGTGGGCGGTCATGAAAAGGTCGTGAGAAAAAAGTGGTTGACGATGAGCATCTTGAGGCACGCGTTTTGGTGTTGTAATTCTGAGTTAATTGATCACTAGATAAGCGTTAATTTGTGCACATCCATCGTGGACTGATTGAAGTTTCTGGGACAAATAATCAAAATTTTGGACTATTTCTCGCTTCCTATAACAATCCGGCTTCTCTCAATTTGTGCGGTGACAGAACTAAAAACGTTTTAGCTTGGCTGGGGAGCAAACGCAATTTGAATGCGCGCGCTTTTTGGCTTGTGCCAAACTGGCTAATCAGGGTGTTGGCTTATGCATGAGTCGCATGGCCGTAAGCTGGTAACCATACGTGAATTGGCGGTAAGATGCGCCGTTAAAAGTTCATTCGCTTAAACAAAATGCTTTGAACAACGGACGCCTGAAGCATGCCGCCGCATTAGACTAACTCTCCTTAAAATTCGTAACTTTGAGAGCTTCGGCGGAGACAATTTCTGTTTACCTGTAGTGAGCTATCCCCATAGTAGCTAAAAGTCCGTAGGAGTATTAGTGATGGTGTGACGAATAATTCGCGGAATGACGAATAAGTTTTAAGCCCATATTTATTGTGAAAGGAGAAAAACGTAATTTAAGAGGGCCAGACATCTAGGTCACTTCGTAATGTCCTCCAAGCCATTCTCGCCATGCCGGGCCAAGTCCTTCGTCGAATCCAATCCCACGGATAATTGGTGCAATTTTTCCGAAGAATTTGCTAAGATAATGACCACTGTCTGTAGAGTTGGCCTCAATGTAGATGCCATAGTGTTGGAATTCCAGGATTTCGGGTCATCCGCAAAAAGTAGACAGGTTCAAAGAGCATCCGCAATGTCCTTGATAAAAAATACAGAGAGGAATAATCCAAGACCGAGCCTTGAACAACTCCGTTGGATGCTCTTACGGAGTAGTATATTGAGCCAACTACCTCAAGAGCGTTCTACTCAATGGAATTCCTTAATCAGCGTAAAAGTTCTCCTTGAATCGCAAAGGACTCAAGTTTTTGGAGGGTTGAACGTGCAGGACTCGTTTGAACAATTTTGGCGCCCGCTGGCGTCCGATGTGAGTTACCCGTCTTCAGCTTGTATTATGTGAGGGTTAGCATTTCTGTCATGGGAAAACAGCCTGAGGGGAATTTGTGTTTCGTTGAGGACATTCATTTGTCGGGATAGATATGATTGAAATGTCTAGCATCTGAATGCGTCCCGTGTTGATGGAACCAGCAGACCTGGGGTTGCTAGGCGATGAGCAGTAACAAATCTTGTGGATTAGCCTCACAGTTGCGTCCTCCGATGGGGGAGAAAGTTGGCATCGTCTGGTGACTGGAGAAATATTGGGTATAAATATTTTACAATGCTGGGCGAGATCCCTCTTGGGATCCTTTGACACATTTCATCTGACATCGAAATGCAGGTTGTCTGGTGCAACACCTGATGAACTTCCCCTTTCTCATGTTTCGGCCGTGCTACCGCAAGAGGCGATGAGTTCACTATTTTAGAACACATCTCTGCAAAGTTTTAGTAGAGTTCAAAGCCACTTTTGGGTAAATTGTGGATTTTAACTTACTGTCTCTCAAGAATAAATGTGGCTGACTTGATATGCTTTCTTCGAGTAATGCGTAACCTGTTTCCCTACGTTTCTTCGGCAGATTTCCCACTAGCAGGAGCTCCGCATTTTACAAAATGCCAGCTAATCTTCTGTGCCTCCTGAAGGATAATTGAGACTCGGATCACAGCAGATGCCTGATCCTTTTGGTGGCTTTTGGTCGGCCCCACTATGCTCTGGGTTCTTTGAAACTAATACGACATCAATCCCGTTAATTTTCTAGACAATGTGCCTGCATTCCTTCTTCAATGAAGCTGGTCCCAGATTAAGTTGGCCAAGAAAGCTAATCATTCTCAAGGAGTCTACGCGGCGGCCGTTCCGCATCTGCGCCGGAGGTTTTAGATTCCTGGTCCATTATCAGATGAAATCAAAGTCAGCAGGCCATGGTCACTATGTTCCACTGGAGCAATAACTGACTCTTGATCAACGTAGCGCTCCCCCGTGGTGGCAACTAAATCCAGGGGGATGGTAGTTCACCTGTGCAGTATCCTATTAGGTAGATCTGTTGACCGACTTTTGGCAGCACTGATTTAAAATGTCCACTTGACTCGACGCCGTGAAATCCCGACCATGAGGCCTTCTGAGTGTCAAAATCACCTGTTAGCAAGAGATGCGTGAACTGGTAGCTGGAGAAATATTACACGCGTGTTTGTATGAGGAACCGGTCGCTTCCGATTGACCTGACGCGCAACAGTACACTCTACCAAAGAGAGGAGAATCAATGCTATGTATCGGGATCTGAATCCACAATGAATCAGAAAAAGGTGCAGGAGTGGTGTCGGAAGGGACAGTCAGGGCAGGCTGCTGTACCCGTGCAGTACAAGCTTTCGGACGCTTGCTTTGCTGTTGTTTGGGGGTTTACTGCGAGCATGCTTTCGCTTGGTTCCTTGGGCTTCCGGGTGCAGTTTCGGCTCCAAGTTGCCTTTGTCAGTCTCGTGGATAAGTTGGCGCTCCGCGAAACTAGTGGGAAATCTGACAAATAGTTTTTCACATACGGGTCACACTTGAACGAAAAATTCCAACCGAGCGACATGTCTGAAACCTGTAATTAGGTTGGGCGACGAAAAATTCCGTTGAAAAGTTTTCATGGGCAAAACACAAAGCCAGCTTTGAAAGTACCACGCTAATAGGGGCACAATATGAACACTTGGAATACGGTGCTACATCTGGAGCTTAATGTACCACATTTGATTCGGCTGATAAGTGTAGTGTGATAGACCCGGATTATATTTGGCGTTGGCCAACAGGTTTCGTCGTCTCACCAACTCCAATCTGGGCCAATCAGAGCGTCGGGCTCCATCAACGTCTGGGTCCACCGCAGATTGTGCGAGGATGCTGGCGTCTCTCTCTCGCGGTCTCGGTTTGGTGGTATGTTGTTATTTTTCCGCCCCTATTTTCCTCCAAGCGCTCTCTTGCGAGGCCAGAATGCCGTTTTCTTAGCACCTCACACACACGGCTGGCCACTAAAATGACTGTTCGTGATGCCCTGAACTCCGCCATGCGAGAAGAAATGGAACGTGACAAAGATGTCATCATACTTGGAGAAGAAGTTGCTCAGTATGACGGTGCATATAAAGTTAGACGGGTGTGCATCCTACACGGTTAATTTAGGTAACGAAGGGCCTCTGGAAGCTGTTCGGGGATGACCGTGTGATTGACACGCCAATTACTGAAGTAACTGCTTCTCACCTGTTTCATACCTTATAGATGGGTTTTGCAGGCACCGCGGTTGGTGCCGCAATGGCCGGATTAAAGCCCATTTGCGAATTCATGACTTTCAACTTTGCGATGCAGGCAATTGATCAGATAATAAATTCCGCTGCTAAAACTTACTACATGTCTGCAGGTTTGGTAAGTAACTTAGTATACTACTGGTCAATCCACGGGGTCATTTTCATTCGACCCGTGGGTCTTCGTCGCTGATTTTTCGCGTGTTACTAGTTCGTGCGGTGGTTCTGTTGCTTTCATACATTTTTGACTTCTGTGGAGAACGTCGGGCTTCATCCTGTGTGTTTCTATAAGCCTACAGCAGACTCAGCCACTCTAATGAGTAAAATGAATCTTTCAGCTCTATCACCCTTCCGATGTCTGGCTGCCATGCCAACGAAGAAAATACGGGGTATGGGATACTGCTAGATTGCCCAAGCCTAGACAGGAAATCATCATCATCATCATTGTCAGCTGTAATAACCGCGTACTCGTCGTACAGTGGTTGCAGCTGCTGCAGTTTCGTTCACCGATGATTTGCCGATGATTTGAGGGAGGGGGTAGGTAGCTGCGCATTGCAGGCGCGAGCTGGTAAGTTGGTGCCTAGACAGGAAAAGTCGAGATTCAGACGTCGGAGTTGAACCATGGACCTTTCGGTCAGTAAACCGCGCTCTTACCACTGAGCCACTCCAATATAATCCGGGAGGGGGCTTGTTGGAACTCGTGCAAGTTCGTCTGCACTTGCACTCGCCGTCTTGGGTGATAAACGACTTTGCATGACGTAGGTTCATTTTCCATCCAACCCCCCTACTCCCCGCTTCCGTTGCATGCGACCCGGAAGCCTTTCAATCATGTATAACTCCAGTGCCTTCGTGTCATTATGGACCAAAACCTTTTGCTTACGTTGAGCCCTGGAGTCCTGTCGCTGGTTGAGGTAATCATAGTCGTACTTTTTGCGTAGATGGCGGTACGGATGATGTTCGTGCAAACCACAATGACTGAACATAAGCAAAGACCACATAGAGAATTCCAGTTGATAACAACGGTAGCGCCAAGCTCCTGTTCGGCCTGAGAACTCATCCAGAAGCCTCGTAAATTCCTGGTCAGTTTGAGTTGTGGACAGTGCGGTAGGACAGTGCATCAAATTGTGCATAATTGCAAGTCAGGTCTTCTCATGGGACATCCGACCTTCACACCTTTGTTGTTCGTCATTTATAATTTTAGATCATCAACGCATGAAAAGCATTTGACGACTACGACCTCGGGAAGTCCGTTGATGGAGATTTTAAACAGGGTAGGTCCAAGAACAGAGCTGTGAGGTACTGTACTCTTAGCCTCGATGGGAAGTGATAGTACACCGTCTACTCAAACTTGAGAAGTTCTTCCAACCGGAAAGTCACATCCTTTCCCAACAGGCTTTGTCGAAAGCCATCTTAAAGTCAGTCTTGGGTATATTCGTCCGGCTGCCAGAGCCGATGGTTGCGACCCTATTTCTCCTGACATGAAGAGAATTTGTCGTGCATGATCGTTCCCAGAAATTTTGCTTCACGCATGCGTGCTTTAAAAATGCTCCCTACTTTAGCCCCAACAAGCTTTTCCCTCAGTGCCAACACCAAGGGGGCAGACCACCCGAGTAGTAGTTCCCGAGTATGGATCTGTCGCCAGTTTGAAGCTCGATATAATAACAACAGTCATCCATTTTCCCGGAGGTCCTTCCTCGTCGACAGTGGCTTACCGATAACAGACTCAAGGGCTCTAGATAGCTCAGTGGTTAAGGCGCCAGCTTACGGACCGGAAGGTCCGTGTTTCGAACTCAACATCAACATCTCGACTGCTGCTATCTAGGCTTAAGCAGTATTGTATTCCATACGTCGTGCCTCCTTTCGTTGGCGTGCAGTACCGAAAAGGTGCTGCAGCTGAACGATTGTTTATGTATTGTTAGCCCAGAGGTTTCGACGATGTGAATGAAGTCCATTAGGTCCAGCGGAGGAGTTCACATCCTATCCAGGCAAGGATGGATGGTAAAAGACTTTAATGCTGTGCGATATGGCTCACTGGTTAGAGTACTAATTTACTGACCGGAAAGTCCGTGGTTTGAACCCGACCTCTGCTTCTAGGCTTCCCCTATCTAGGCTTGGGCAAACTGGCAGTATCCTAGCCCTCGTGGTAGCTAGGCACCGGAAGGATGTCACAGCTGAACGATTATCTTATTTGTCTAACGGTTCGTGCACTTCCATAACCCATTTAGCTATGCTCGGATGCGTGCTTGTTGCATTCAAATAGCTTCATACTAGGTTAGGCCGGTAGTTAGATGTCTGACCAACACTCTCCTTAGCGTCAAAGTTTGGAGCTGGAAATTGCTCTAAAGTGGTCATTTTACTTGTTGCAGGTTTGGTGAGCGGAAGCCCACTACTGCTAGTGCCTCTCCTTCTCTTTCATATACTTGTTTCTTACCTCTCTCCCCACTCCACTAATAAATCTCTCTTTGTAGACGAACCACTTGGGACTGGTGACTCAATTCGTCCTGCATTGGTTCTGCAAGCGTCATCCGTCGTTGATATTCCCAGACATCCCTAAATCAATCTTCAAGACGACGTTCGGTTTCTATGGCTTCTCTCAGTGTTCACATTCTAAAGCAGGCAGGACAACCATCTGCTCTTGCTCTTACGACTGGACTCGCCTGACATTCATGTGATACTGACTCACGACTGGACTGCGTGACATTCATGTGATACTGACTCGAGAGCAGCAAGCGGGATTCCGGCCTGGTAGGGGTTGCGTTGACCAAATCTTCAACATGCGTCAGGTGCTAGAACAACGCCATACGTATAAGCGACCCACGATTCTAGTATTCCTGGATTTTCGAGGCGCATTCGACTTGGTTGATCGGTCTGTTCTTCTTGAGACGTTTGCCCACCAAGGAATGCCCCGGAAGTTCGTAAACATAATACGTTCTTTGTATTCTCAGACTTCCGGACGTGTGAGGGTGTACGGAGAGCTTCCGTACAAAAAGCGGTGTCCGTCAGGGATGCCCACTCCCTCCATTCCTTTTTAACTT